TTCTAATTTTATGTGTGTCTATATATATATAGTAACTCATCTTCATGTAAGAAAAGGACCAATTATTCATCACAGCTTTAAAAATTTTGGGATGAATAAGTTAGCAAGTAAGTCTTATATTTCGGTCACATAGAAATTAAATAACAGGTAAGAATTTCTCATAAATAATTTCACATGACATATGAAATTGATGATTCCGGTTATATTCATCTGTTGTTTGTTAATTAAATATTAATCAGTATTTTAAAAAAAAAGAAAATAAAAATGAGGAAATTATAAGGACTAAAAAATAATAAAAGAGGAGTTATTTGATTTTTGTAAAAACAACGTACTTAATTTTTTTATAAAAAAAAGTAAATTTATTCTTGTCTATTTCTTATTCTTCAATGAATTCTCATTCTTTTGGTCATTTTCTTCTTATTCTATAAATTAGTGAAGAGGTCATTGCATTTCATTCTTTCCTTTCCATCTTCATATGTCCTAGTTGTTGGATTCTTCAGTTTCTAATTTCTAATTTTATGATGCTTGGTCTATATATTATATACGTACTAATATTATGTGTGTCTATATATATATATATATATATATAATTAATATGCAGCAAATAAATAATTTAAATCCATACAAAACAATAGAATAAGTTCTTAATAAATAATGGGTAAAATAAGAATTAATAATTGTGCACACTGCAATTGGCTAATTATTTATTTATTTATTTAAAGAATTGACATTGGACCTCTTCAAAATCCAAATGTACTTTGTAATTTCCATATATAGTCATATAGTCAGTTTCACCTTATTAATTTCCATTTTCTATCTATAGTCATAAAATTAAAAAAGCATCTGATGTGGCTATCCGTTGGTAGTGGACGCTCAGCTGGCTTCACTAATTTAGGGCATGCAATGATTTCTACAAAGAAGAAATAAGCAAATTAAATTTCTTTTTATCAGTGACTGGATTATCAATCTCCAATCATTCTGAAGATTCTTTAAGCTCTTATCTACCTATTTATCAATCCAGTCAAATCACCAATTTCCCCTTTTCTCCATTTCCATTTTTCCATGTTTAGCTGCCCAAAAATGGTAATCTTATCTTTTATCTACATGGAAATGTCCTAAGTTTTATTCATCCTCATACAAGGTACAATTAGTGTGCAGATGACATCATTTAATTATATATGTTGTAGTAATAGAATAGGAAATATCTGTCTTTTCTGTATATTTTCCTTTGATTCTATTACTATCGCGTGTTTTTTAAAATCGATCGGATCATATAGATATCTTTAATTTCAACACAACAAAAGTCATCAAAAAAATCTCGGAGATAAAGCATGAAAGTCAGGATCTTTCAGAAAAATGAATTTCTATTTAAAAAGTGCAAAACCGCGTGGATAAGCTCGTGCTAATCTGTCAATTTGGAATCCAATGCATTCTTTAAATTGATATATAGAAGCATTAAACCTAGCTAATTAACTCGATGGAGCTTAATATGGAAACTTGATAGGGCTTATTAGTGTTTTGATTGATAAACCAAAGCAACTTTTATTTTCTCTATTCGCTTTATGTTAGTAAAGATAAAATAGTAGTGGAATTGAGTCTCAATGTTAGTGATATTAGAATCTAATTGGAAATGAATGTTTATTTTTTTTCCAAAAAAATTATATTTTTTTGTGCAAACCGCTGGCATTTGGATCTTATTTTCAAGAACCGACTAAACCTGGCTCGAGGTTTAGTCACAATTAAAACTATTCATCCCTCCTTACAGGTGTATTTAATGAATATCAAACCCGAAAAAGATCAATCATTAAATTGGATACCTTATGAACCAAAAATAAAATAAAATAAAATACTACTCAAAAAAGTTATATTCGATTGCTAATTCTGGAGCGAAATATTTACATAGATCAATTGTTGATATGCAGAGAGTTGGCATTTCTTCAAAATTCCCTTTGCCAAATTAATTAAAAAGAAAAATTTTACGAAATTACATTAACTCTTGGAATGTTTGATCTATGATTTTTACTCGGAAAAATATGGAAAATGAAGTGTTGAGTACATATATACACATATACACACAATATACATAGAACTTGATAAGAGAATTGTACTGAAACAATTAAAATAATTTTTAGAATTATAAAAATCGCATTTTAAATAAATATTTGTTCTCTTTTCGTTTTGGCAAATTTTAGATCAGACATGTTCATGAAACGTGCCAAAATTTCTTCTAAATAATAAAAAATTAGTTTGGAAAACACGTGTGGAGTTACGTGAAAAACCAAAATCTTGACAGTCGTAATAGATAATGTGTAAGGTTTAAACCTAGTTTTCGACCTAGTTAAAAATGAAATGTGATAGCAATAGAATTCATGAGTATATATAAATGCTTCAATGATTTCCATTGCAATTTAATTTTATGATGAACCAAGTAGATACTGTCTGATGCCTTGGCTGTAGTTATTAGTGCCGTTAAGTTTTTTCTGAACAATAATAATAAAATAAATTGAATTTGATGATGAAAAAAAAAAAAAAAAAAAAAAAAAAAAAAATATACAAATGCTTCAATGATTTCCATTGCAATATTAAATTTGTATTGATGAACCTCTAAGTAAGATTACTGTGTTGCCCTTGGCTGTAGGTTATTTAGTGCCGTTAAGTTTTTTCTGAACAATAATAATAAATAAAATTGAATTTGATTTGATGAAAAAAAAAAACAAAAAAAAAACAAAAAGGAATAAGTAGAGGACTAAGCTCGACTCAAAAATCACATACACTTTTAAAAAAAAAAAAAAAAAAAAAAAAAAAAGAAAGTAGAGACTAAGTCGAACATACACTTATCCTGCATGCTTATTATAAAAGAAGTGAAAATCATCAAAATCAAAGCATCAGTGCAAGTATAAAGAAAAGAACTTCTCCTGCAAAATTAGCATATGCGTTCACATATACATAATGCAAAAATAACCAAAAGAGTAATTTCCCAATCAAGAAACCAAGAACACTTCCCATGCACAAAACAGGAAGGCAAATAATCAACTTTTTTACATTTCTTTTTTTTTTTTTTTTACCAGGTTTTTGTTTAACATTTTCAGGTTAGTTATAAGTTTACAGGTTAAACCTATTGGCTTGGGGTAAATTCCTGAAAATATTAAACTTTTCCTGATATCTTTTAATTCTAATAAATTTTTTTTTTTGTTGCTGATGATAAAAAAAAAAAAAAAAAAAAAATAGCACAATAAGAACAAAAAGGAAATGCATTGATGAGAAATATTTCAAGCCTTTTATTCGGTCCATTTTTCATGAATTAAAAAAAAAAAAAAAAAAAAATAGCACAATAAGAACAAAAAGGAAATGCATTGATGAGAAAATATTCAAAGCCTTTATGGTCCATTTCATGAAATAAAAATAATATCATCAACCATTATTAATTCTATCATTCTAAATCATGATTAGCTAGTAGCAAGAACATATGGGTGTATTTAGATACTATAAACATCAAAATGGATGTTCCTACCCACTAAAAATAGTAAAAGGGAAAAAGAAGAAACACTAGAGCTAGCATCTATCCTATGTGAGCATGTGTCATTGTTTTATTCTATCAATTAATTAATTAATTAAGCATATATAAACGAATTAATTCTACTTTTAACCTAAACTATATGTATATATATATCTAGAAATACAAGAGGATGACCCAACACTAACCAATTAGAGAACTGCTGTCGGCCAAATTGATTAACAAAGCTTTCTCCGAATCTCCATGCACATATACATACATTTACAGTTTCAGCTATAATAATTAATTCTAGTTCATTTTGTATTATCTATTAACACATGCAATGTATAATGATTTAGCATCAAGAATTAATGTATAAAAACTAAAAAGGAGAAATTTTGAAAGTGTAGCTTTTTTTTGTCCTTTCTCCTAAATTTATGTCTAACCATAGATTTTTTCAATTTTCACTTTGATTGGTTGTTAAACTTGATTCCATAAGGTTCTCTAGGTTCATGTGACTCCAATTAATTTGACTCAAGAAGAGCTTCCTCTTCCCTTTTTTTTTTATTTTTTTATTCGAATAATAAATAAATAGTTTTTCGAAATATAAAAAAAAGATTATTAATTAAACAAAAAGAGAGTATCAAAATTTAATTATACTATGTTATTCCATAGACATTCAATCATAAAATTTCTAGTCTTCCTTGTTATTTTATATTGGGAGGAAATGATTGAGAATAACTTATACAATAATGTAGAAACTTTACTATAGCAATAAAGCTATAAAATTATTGGAGACCATGAGATTACTTATTAGTTAATTGATTATTATTTACTAATTAAACTCACTTAGTCAACAAGCTAATGGCATAAGATCTCTTAAATCATGATTACTTTGAATTTGTCTGCCATTTCCACAAATCTTTCCCCTTTCTAGTGAAATGACAGCACTAATTTATATATATATATATATAAAGAAATTAAACATCTAATCTATACATCTAGCCCAAGATAATTATATACATATGAATTCAATTACTATAAAGACTAATTTTTAAAGTTTGAGTATGAAATTTTTTTTCTTAGCACCAAGTTCCTATGGGCTATGGCTATCTCATTCTGTAATAAAGCAGTAAAAGTAGCAACACAATAGGGGGGAAAATTGAAGGGGAAAAGTCAGAAATCAGAAATATAAAGACTATAGCAGAAAAATGAATAATAACAGCAACAACTGACCTCTCTGCAACCCCTAAAACAATTAAACAAGTGTATAGTGCTTTATTTGGATGTATCTGACATGTAATACTCTTATGTAAAGCTTTTCTTTAACCCTCTCTTTGCATAACACTAAATATTTTTCAGCACCTTTTCAAGAATAATTCATTAGAAAGAGCTGCTAAGCTACCACCTATTGTCCAAACAATAAAAGAGATCAAAGAAAAGAAAAATAAAGAAGACATTCAAGCACAAGGTACGCAAATCTAATTAAAGCCTTGTCATACATATGAAAAACATTAATTCAAGAACATATTTATATATTTATATTTAATATATTAAAATATATTATTATAAGTAGTCTTATGAGCAATTAGATGCTCTCTTTCTTCTTCAGTTTCAAGTACAATCACTACTACTGCTACTACTTCTTCCACCACTTTTCTAGTACCACTACCACTACTAAATGCTACTACTACTGTTTGCATCAAAAGCAGATTCAAGGTATCCCCTGCAGATCTACCCAAATTTTTGTTCCATCAAAGCAAACAGAATTAATAATACCCACAATATGTAATAACTTCAAAAGAAAAAAAAAAAAAATACTGCTAACCCTAAATATGCTGCTAAAATTCCATAACTGAGTGCTGAAAAACGAAAGTAACTAAAAGTACCCACATACAAGGTAATGGCTATGCTACTATCAAGAAAAGGGTGTTTCTTGTTTTTTTATTTTTTTAAAAATTTTTTAATTTTTTTTTAATTTTGTTCATATTAAGTTGCACCTGGTGGTGGTGGCAAGGCTTGGATTTGCTGCTGCGGTGGACGTTTACGCTTCTTTTTCTCATAGCTGATTCCTCTTGCTTTAGACTGCAAATCTCTAACTTCTCGAAGATAAAGCCTAACTGCACGAGCTCCAAATGGGTTGGCTTCTGGTTTTCCTCCATTTTCTTCAAAGGCTGCTCTGAGACGCCCGATAAGGGCGTCGAGGCTACCCCAAGCTTGCCGGAGTGGACATGGACATGGTGCAGGAGGATTTGGGTGTCCATAAAATGGACAAATTGGTGTATGCACTTTGGTCTTTCCAAATTGATCAAGATATCGAAGAAATTCAAGAACATGAGCTCCGCTGCATCTTGAAAGAGAGAGCGGTGGCCTGTGATTTTTGAGATATTGGCCAAAAGTGTTCCAGTCGCGACGCTTTTGATTCTCGTATCGACTAGGAGTTGTCGTGGATGTTGATGGTGATGATTGTCCTATGGTTATAGTGGTGGCCGCGGTGCCGGTAGCGGTGGTGGTGGTTATATTGTTGAAACTGGTGGTTTCTGAGTTGGAACTGTCCATTTCAGGAATTGAATCCATAGGAAGTAGAAGTTTTTTCCTTTCTTGGATGGATCTTATTAAATAGGATACAAAGGAAATATTTTTCTCTCTTTTTCTTGATTACTCTTGCAAAATGGGTTCTTTTAGGGTTTCTTGTTCTATTTTTCCCTCTCTAAAGAAACTTATAAAGAAAGAGAAAGCTAAATCCTTTTATTTCTGGATAATCTTATACAATTCTTTCTTGCTGGTGTTAGTATTGCTAATGAAAACAATACCAAACTCCAAAAAGAGAGAAAGAGAACAAAAAGGGAAAGAAGCGAGAGAGAGAGAGAGAGAGAGAGTGATAAGATTATTGATTGATATTAGAGAATTTCCATATTTGAGGAGAGAGAGAAAGAAGAGATTATGAAGTTATTATTAAGAGGAAGAAGAGATTGATGGGAAAGGGATGAGATGACTCTTCTTTTCCCTCTCAGTGCTATGTTTTGGGAGTTTCTTTGTTTGTTTTAGCAAATACTAGAAAAATTAAAGCTGTGTGACAATCTAGTGGGATTTTTTCTCTCTCTTTTTTTATTTTTCTTGTGGATTTCTGAAATGTTTTAGTGATTGGTTTTTTTCCTATAAAAGGTAGAACAACTCAGCTCGTACTGATTAATGGATTATTACTATTGATCTGTACATATATATATAAATAATTATATATTCTTGAACTATGGAGTGGTAATATAGAGAGAGAGAGAGAGAGGGGTTACTAATACTAGGGCTTGTGGGAAAATGGCAAGGGGTTAGGCAAGTAGGTTGAGATGGAGACAGGAAAGTTTTTAAGAGGGTAAAATTTAAGGGAATAACATGATTTTGTTTCTTGAACCTGTAGTCTTTGAATGACAGTTCATTTCTTTTTAGTTACAAGAATGCCCTTATCAAATATTTTTTTTTTTTTTTTTTTTTTTTTGAACCTGTAGTCTTTGAATGACATGTTCATTTTCTTTTTCTTAGTTACAAGAATCCTTATCAATATTTTTTTTTTTTTTTTTTTTTTTTTTTTTTTTTTTGGGTTTACAATAAATAAAGCTTTAGCTTCTGACATTTTGATTTCGGCCCCATCTCATCTTTAAAAGACTTCAAGTATTGGTCCATACAAAGTGCTTTAGAAATAAAATTATTAGTCCTTTCTTTTCTATTGGTTGTGTGATACTAGCAAACACAATTTTGGATAACTATAATCCTCCTTCTTCGTATAAATTTGTTTTTTTAAATTTTTTTTATATTAAATCAGACTTTTTTTATTTATTTTGTTATATTAAAAAAACGAAAGTTGGACATAGATATGCACAAGTTTAATATACACTTACCATAAAAGCAAACATACAAGTGTGTGCCGCCCATTTCTAATTTTGGTTGTACTTCCATTTATTTGTTAATTAAAAATATTTTTATATATGTTTTGATATTGGGATAAAGATAACCAATATATATAAATTAGTTTCTAATTAATAATTTCTATTTTGTTACAATAAATTAAAAAACGTGACTCAGTTTTACCGTAGGCGACCTTCAACGACATTAATGCAATTTTTTTTTTCTTTGGCAGAAACCATCAGTTGCTTGAAAGCTATTGGCAGTGTTCTAAAACCGATCATCCTTGTTAACAGGCAGTTTGGAGATTTGAGGTGAATTTTATGTGTAAAATCGGGTTTGAAAATCTAAAAATATTACTGTCGAGAGAGTTTTATTTAAATTACTATCTCTAGTTCCAGCGCGAAAATATATATACTAACCTAAAAGGGAAAAATTGATCATCCTTTCATGGACAAAAAGATAACTCTCACTAGTAAATAGAGAAAGCCATTTGAAAAAATATATATATATAACAAAGAAAACCTTCCATTTAAAGGGAGATTTTGACTAGAACAATTAAATTTTACTCTAAGTCATAGATTTGAATTAAAAAGAAAAAAAAAAAAGAAAAACAAATGACAAAAGGGTTTCTTTGTCAGAAATCAAGATAAGCTGCAGCACTAGAATGGCAGAGAGATTATGAAAAGGAAAAGACATAGATATAATTCACTTGATAAAAATAAAAAATAAATTTATTATAAGAAAAAACTTATAATTTAATTATAAATTGAAGTCATTGTAGATTGATATGATATGATTTGTTAAATTGTTCTTAGGAAAATTAGTGAAGGCATGTAACACAATTAATAAAATTGATGGGTTCATGCTTGCTTCCTTGCTTGCTAGCTAGCTGGATCCGTGACTTGTTGTCTACTCACTACTACAATTATTGTGCAAAACAGAAAAATTCAATGATAAAGACTTTTAGGAAATCATTATTAACTCGAGACGTTTTGTTTCTTATATTAGTGAGAAGATCGATCAAAATACTTCTGATTGGCTTCAAAAATTAATTATTTAATATCTTATTAATAAACCTAAAACATAATTAACGAATGTTCTAATTTTAGTATGAATAATTCATCTTTAACTAAAGTGGGAAGTAAATTTTTGACAATAAAAAGGGATTGTTTATGGGTAAATTATTATAGTAATCACTTAATTAGAAATATAATTATGATTAAAAACCCCAATTGGATGGATTCTAGCTGTCTTGGCAAATGGTAGTAATTAAATGTTTAGACATTGTGGCACCAAATATAGGAAGTACTTTTTTTTTTTTTTTTTTTTTTTGTTTAGACAATTTGTGCACCAAATATAGGAAGTACTTTTTTTTTTCTTTTTTTTTGGACATTAAATATAGGAAGTACTGATTCATGGAATTTGGGTTGCCAAACAAAAAACAATGAAAGGGAAGCCTGTCCTTGAGGTTAATTGTATACATTGACTACATTTTTGGATGATTTCTCTATTACATAATGTTTTTTTGTCGGATCACATAACATTTAATGGACATTAATTTTTTTTTTTTTTTTTTTTTGACATTTAAATATAGGAAGTACTGATTCATGGAATTGGGTGCAACAAACAATGAAGGAAGCCTGTCCTTGAGGTAATTTGTATACATATGCTAATTTGATGATTTCTCTTACATATGTTTTTTTGTCGGTCCACATTAACATGTTAATGGAATTAATATTACTGTGAACCACACCACTATCTAACGTTAAAAATGAAAATATACATTTAATATCATGCGTACAAAAAGTAAAAATAAGTGCGCGATGACTTATTGTAATTTTCTAAAAAGAGTAATCAATGTTTAAATTTCATCAATTACATTATTTCTTCTCATAATCAAATAAAAAAATACGATGTCGAATTAAATTTAATCAATTTAATTCAAAGTTTTTGAAGTTTAATGAATATATCAATCAATTAATTAATTTAAAGATGAGCCAGATGTGTAAATTTTCATTCTCAGTCTTAAAGTTAAATTATTGGTCATATATATATATATAGATTAATATATAATTTGTTATATAAATAAATTATTGATCATATACTCTTAAATTCAATATATATTTAATAAAAAATACTAGAGTAAGAGTTTAATAAACTCAATAAATTTTTTTTAAAAAATAGTTTAACAGCTAATTATTTAGAGTCAACTTCGGTCTTATTCTCAAGTTCTTATCTCTCATATATTTCATGAAGCTAACTCATACGCTGACTGACTTTTGAAATTTGCTTCATCAATTTCTTTGGAGCTTCAAGTTCTCAATAGCCTCCTCATCTCATTCACGTATTTTACCTGATGTGACTTATGATTTATGTGGCATAGCTTTATGTCCATTTTTGTAATAGTTAGTATCTTCTGATTTCTTTATTACAACCAAAAAAGAAATATACCTTTCAAAACGTGAAAATTCTATTGTATTTGTGTAGATAATTAATTAATCTTATCTTGTCATAGTGACATATGAACAATTCTTAAAAGTTAAGAAAAATCATATATTGTTTAATCCAGTTGTTTACAACATAGGAATGGAATTAATTTATATTTGTGTAATTTACTTTTATAATAATATTTAAAGGCATAATTTTTTAAAAAATTAGTTTTTAGCCTTTATAACCAGCCTATATATATTGGATGTAGCAGACAAAAATGGATGCTCTTGAGAAGCAACTTCAGAAAGTTTTTGGAGTCTTCATGTGGTATTGGTTACGTAGCAATCCATTACTAATAATATTTTCTCCTTTTTAACAAAAAAAAAAAAAGGAAGAAAAAAGAAAATGAAAGGAACCCTTGTAATTAATTCTTCATGATCTAATGAAATTATTCCAATAGGTGCCATATGACAAATTTCTGGTGCAAATCCATTTGGACCCATTTCTAATAGTTTGATTCCCATATTTGAATTGGACATATAGAGATGCTGAAGTAAGTTAATTTCCAATTAAAGCAGTAATAAAAGTTATTTAAATAATTTAAAATTAAAATTTATTTCGAGAAATAGAGAATAAATTAGACACCATACTTATTTTTATAATTTCGAAATCCAACACCATTCAATAAGACTAATTTGACAGATTTTCATACTGTAATTTTAATCATTTAATAATCAAAATTCTCACATCACGAGTTCTAATCTTTAAGCCAATCATTTATCTCTCTGCCTTACAACTCAAAAGATATTCTAATACTATATTTGTGATATCCATATCTTATCTTAATATGAAAAATCTAAGAAGGATTTTTGGGACCTGCAGTTGGTATTATTTGTTAAATAATGCAACGGTGCAATTAAAAAAGCCATTCTCATATACTAACTGTGCATTATCATAAAATTTATTTAAAGTGAAAAAAAAAAAAAAATTCTAAAATCAAATGGCCAAATTTCATCTGATTCCTTGTGATATAAAGATTGAAATGATGTGACCATTTCTTTATTTACCAAAACAATTAATTAAATAATTATGTGATTAATATGATAAATAAATTATTGGAATATATAATTAAGACATTAAATTGACACAACTCAATGATGTGATCTGAGAGGGACCCCAGAAATTACTGGTGCTAGAGGGTCCAAGTTCCAACCAAGTCACCATTTTTGATTGGCTCCACTGGACAATTTACCTCGGCCCCATTTTAATTCTCTAGTCCTACATATGTATGATATATCCCACTAATGGCATTATGCAAAATTTTGGATTTTTCTGTTAAAAACCTAAGTTTGCATTTTTATTTTGTCCAACTGGCCATTGTTTGAATAAAATGCAGAAAATCAAAATTATAGGCTAGAATTTGATTATTTAGACACTTTCAGAAAAATTAATTATTGATTATGTTAATTAATAATTATTAATTATTATTAAAAGGAGTAACGTTTCGTAATCTATTGTTCTTAATTCTAAATATTAATATAAATATTGTATCATTGAACCTTATAAATATTAACAAAACCTCTGGCAGACTATTTATAGGTATTGTACGTTGAATCCCTAAATGCATTGCATGCAGTTAACTGTTAATATCTAACCCTCAAAATGTAGCCCCAACAGCTAACGCAGCTAATTGCAATTCACAAATCCAAAGCAGATTCTTTAGCAAAAAATCCAATCCGTATTTGATGAAAAGCTGAAACATATAAAAAAATTAGGGCATACGTAGCTCTGTGTAATTGAGCTATGACCATTCAAACAAAAACCGCTAAAATCATTTGAAAACAAAAATAAGAATTAAGGATAATATAGCACTTTAATCAAAATAATCAAGGGTCCAAGTTTATATAATTGGTTATTTCATGTCTTAATAATTTTATTTTGCGTGTTTAAACCATCTCGTATCTAAAACTAACAAATTGATTTAGGAAAATATTAAACTCGTGGAAAAGAGTTATAGTGGCTCAATATTCTTTCGAATGAGAAATTAAAAAAAAAAAAAAAAAAAAAAAACCCCCGCTAAAAATCATTGAAAACAAAAATAAGAATTTAAGGATAATTATAGCACCTTAATCAAAATAATCAAGGGGATCAGTTTAATATAATTGGTTTATTTCATGTCTAGCTTAATTTTATTTTGCGTGTTTAAACCCATCTTCGTATTCTAAAACTAACCAAATTGATTTTAGGAAATGACTTTAAACACTCGTGGAAAAGAGTTATGCATAGGAACTGGTTCTCCCTTCCAATATTCCATCTTCGAGTGAGAAATTAAAAAAAAAAAAAAAAAAGAAAAAGAACATGATTTTTAAATCTCAAAGCAAAAAAATAAAAAAATAGCAAAATTCGCGACTTATACCACTGCAAAAGAGTTAGAAGCTAGCTTCTTTTAGTATACTTTAGTGGAAAGTATATTGAAGCAATTAGGTTTGTTGATATTTGAACCCCTAATTAAGCATTATGGTGAAAAAAAAAAAAAAAAAAAAAAAAGCTATTTTAAAGAGTAAAGATTTTAGTATACTTAGTGGAAAGGATATGAAGCAATTAGGTTTGTGATATGAACCCTAATTAAGATTAATGGTGAAAATTGGAGAAATGGGAAGAGGTCTGGTTGGTAAGAGGTATTATCGTACCCTAAAAGCAAACATTGAATATGGAGTTTGGGCCCGTCTATGCGCTTGTGGACCAATACCTGCCTCTCTATAGAAGGCAACTTTTATTTTGTCACCATTACCTTGTAACCTAATCTTAATTTTAGAACCGATCGTTTCGATTCTAAATAATATAAAATCAAATCGAATTAGAAATTAACGATTCTAATTTCAATTTGAAATCGATTGGTTATAGTTTTGATTTTAATTTCAATTTCTTAATGGTTTTAAAACCAGCAGTTTCAAATGGTACTTGACCGATTTTCCAAATAGTGGCATGATTTTAAAACTAAAATATCTAACTTATATAAGTAACCTTAAATAACTTTATAGTCGCTTATGGTTGTTAGAAGGGTTAATTTATAAATTTTAATGAAAAATTTTGAAAAAGTAAAAAAATGTATTTGAATCGCTGGTTCTAAACCAATCGTTAAAACTTTCGATTCCAGCCGATTCATAATTCTAAAAAACTTAAAATCAAAAATTGAACAGCAACTTTCGGGTTACGTTTCCGATTCTATCCAATGCCGATTCCAATTTGACGGTCCGGCTCTAAAAACCGGAATTTAGCCACCCCTACATAGATCATAGACTCGAGAAAATGATATTACTATAATAAAAAAAAATATTTCACACAAATCTTCACACTCAAACCGAGATAACATTTAAATAAAACTCTCGTAACAGTGACAAATTTGCTTTCAAACCTCTAACCTTAATATCCACATCCCACTGTAAAACGGAAAAGATAGATTAATTATAAATCAAGTGTTCAAACTTTCGAAAGATTTCTATCTTGGTGTCGACTGACGATCATAAAGTCACAATAATAATAGTCTTAAATCATTGAGTAACCCTAGCGTAGTCATATGTATAGCATTGTCAGATAAAAATATGAAATTACCCAAAAGGGGAATGCAATGCACAGTTGAATTATTTTATGCAGTGTAGTGTTGTTGTAACCTTCACAGACCGCCGCCCTAACATTTGTAGCATAGCCAATGCTACAACTCTAAAAACACATAACAATGCCTTATTAATAGCCAATGTATTTGAATACCTGAGCTCAAATTAGAATTTTTGGATGTCAGCTTTTTTGGAGTTTTCTTAACCTAAAAACAAAATTTAAACATTTTTTTATTGATGCATTTAACAAAGTATTTTCTTAACTATATTTCCAAAATTTTATGTGGTAAAATTAGTTATTTTAATAATTATTAACTGTCTTAATAAATCTCAACTATTTAATAAATGTAAATAATAAAGATAGTGGTTTGACTAAATTAAAACTCTAAAAACCACATGAAAAGTTATTGTCGAAATGGACCCTCAAAACAAAAAGAGAACATGTTTAGTTCACATTAAAAAAAAAAAATAGAAATAAATATCTAAATCAAAAAAATATATATGTATTAAATTTATTAGTTTATAAATGGCGAAACAAAATTTATCTGCGATATTCAAAATTTCAATACAAATCCAATTTTTTCAAAATATAAATAAAAAAAATACATTTATATTTTATTTATTTCAAAATTACATTCCATTCATAATTTAAAAGCCAACAAACTAACATAATTGCATGATGGATGCATATGGGCCCTATGTGTATTTCACAGTACATAGAATTGGAAGAAGGCAAGAAAGGTTCCAACTCTTAACCTCCAGTATTATAAGAGATAGATATTCTGTAGTTACAGTGAAACCTTTTAGCTCAATTAGCTTAATCAGACACAAATCTTAATCTCCTAGAGACAGACACTTCCAAACTATAATGAAACATTTATATTAGCCAGTTAGCTTAATCATACAGAATATACACACTTAAATTGCAAAACAAAATGCAATCTCAAGGTCAAACATACAGAAAATACAATTTCAAGAAAGTCTCAGGAATAAGAAGAAATTGAACAATCACTACAAATTGTAGGGCAACAACTAATAAGAAGTCTAAAAAAGGAAAGAAATATCAGAAACACAAAAATTATCATCCCATTTTCCCTTCCAAAATTCTTCAGTTACCACTGGCATTCATGAAGATTCCACTTGTGCATAAAATACCATAAATGTTCAATGTTTTATTGTATAGCAGACTGCAACAGTTAAAAAAGATATATATACATGATATATACATTACATAGAACCCGAGCAGTTATCAATTCTCATATTCTATGACACCGAAAGAAAATAACAAATTCCCGGTGACTGCACTCTAATATTTGGGAAAACTAAAAAATCTAACAAGCATGCTACTCTTCCTACTAAAAGAATAAATCAAGACTACAACACTAACAAATATAGCTAAAAACCTAAAAATATATAGGAAAAATGAAAGCTCCCAAGCATCTGGATGGAGAGAAAACATATCAAAGCAATCAAACAATCAAACAAAATCTGTTTCATATTATTATTTACCCTTTCCCATGGCTCCTTCTCTCTGATTACGAAAATGACAAAGAAGCTGTTGTGCCTGCAATGCATAACACATACAAAATAAATCACATATCACAGTTAATATATCCATAATGCACTTAAAAACTTCCCAGTTTTCTACCCAGAAGAAATTTAAAATGTGATAGTCATGGCTTACTTTCAGCAGAGTTAAGTGCTCAGCCTTCACCATGACTTTGGGCATTTTGTTTAGAGAGCATATATGAGTCAAAAGCATACCTTTTCTTTTGCTCTTGGTGTGCCAAACTGGGACAATGCAACAAGAGGAGGAACTGCTCCTTCTTGCAAAACAAGGGTACAAAACTTGGGACTATTAAGGCATAGTTGCAACAATACAGAGGCAGCATTTTCCTTCCCCCTCTGAGATCCTGATTCAACAATCTCAACCAGTGAAGGGATGCCTCCAGCACGCACAATTGCCAACTGCCCTTCCCCAATTGTTGACAGGTTTGCAAGAAGAGCAACTGCCTTGTCAGCCATTCCAGTGGCAGGATCCATCAACTTAACAAGATACTTTACAGCTCCAGCTTGAACTATGCATGCCTTGTTATCATGAAGAATTGAAAGGTTAAACAAAGCCGTAGCAGCATCCTTCTTCCCCCTTAGAGTCCCAGAGGCCAGAAGACCCACCAAGGCTTTGACTGCCCCGGAGCGGCCAATTTTTGCTCTGTATTCTTCTAAAACGGATAGACTAAATAGGGTTGCCGCAGAATTTTCTTTCGCTCCATCATTTCCTGATTTCAGAACATGTATAAGCGGTTCTATTGCTCCTGCTTCAGCAATCATGGTCTTAACTTCTTCATTGATTGACATGTTCAACAAAGCAGTCACAGCATGCTCTTGAGTCAGCTTCACTTCTGAGTATAGTAGTGAAAGCAATGGCGGAATAGCACCACAGCAGCCTATAATGATGCGATTCTCCATTTTGTCCTTCGCGAGGAGCCGTAATTCTGCTGCAGCAGTAGTCTGCAATTCATTTGATTGGCTTTTAAGATCTTCAATCAAATTCTTGACATGAGAAGATATAGTTACATAACCAGAACCCATGTCCAAAAAGGGAGCAGACTGTGTTCTAATGTGGATATGGTTTCCATTTCCTTCCCCATCGGCTTTTGTTTTAGGAACGGAGAATTGATTTTCAGACAAGGGAGAAAATCCTAGTTCTTTATTTGGCAAAGGAGCAAGACAATCAAATGTAATCTCTCTTGCGAAGTTGATTGCCTTTTCACGCTTGTTGGATATCATTAATTCGTCATTTGAAACTGGAGACACATACTCAATACTGGATATGGCACTTGAGGCTGATTCGCTCCTACTGTGAATATATGACAGTTCATGGGATGGGCATCCAGTGCTTTTAATCTGCCTGATTTGATATCTGTTGGGCTCTTCTCCAATTGGTTTAGATGAGAAATCAACCTTGTGCTTCCCAAATCCATTTCCAACTTCAAGGGATGATTTTGATGTAGAATTGCTACTCTGAAGAGAGGGATGGAGACTATCAGAGCACTGTAAACTATGATCTGATGGAGTTGGAGCTGAGGTAAGATTAGCCTGCTTAGAGTTACTGGAAAGTCTTATTTGGTTTTCTTCACACCAATTTGCTATCATAGCTTTTACAGTATAATTGGGAATAAGATTCGTGTGAGCAAGCTCTTGACGGGTCTTTGGGCAAATGGTCAACCCATGATCAAGCCATTTCTGAATGGAAGCCCTCTCATAAGTTTGACCTGAAGCCACAATCACAGGATCCAACATGAGTTCCAATGACAGAGGACAGCGGAAGTATGGAGGAATTGGGACCCCACTCTCTGGTTCTAAGCGCTCAATTTTAAGCAAGCAATTACGTATTTCAGATATGAGATCCACAATTTTGTCGATATGACCTAAGTCCCCTTTTCCTTTATTGACTTCAATATTCACTCTCTCCTTTTCCACAGCCACAATTTCTTTCAAGAATTCCCTATCTGATGTCAAACTTAGTGATTCAATAATTTTCGTAAGGTGATCGATACAAGGAATGACACCTTCTCTTTTACTTCTTACAGCCTCCTCTATATGATCTGTTATCATTTCCTGTTCTAAACATTGAAGCTCCTGCATACAGTGCTGAAAAATATTTTACCAATAGTTAGCCACACAATGGGCCAAGTAAACAACTAAGCAAATGATATTAACTTGAATCCAGAAGATTACACTAAAATATAAACAAAACAGGAAAATCACTGACAAGAAATAGAAATAATGAATGCAAACTCTTTTACTAGAATCTGTTCTGTCATAGACAAACCAGACAATGCAAAAAACTGCTCCAACTTTGTACACACCTGAACACCAGTTAAACTTGGAGTGGATGGAGAAGATTGCAACAACCTAGGTAATATGTGACAAATATCTAGTGCAGAGGTTCGGATTTTCGTAAAGAGGGCTTCACTTCGCCAAACCTGCACATTTAAAAAGGAAAAAGTGAACCAAGAGTTTGAATCCTCATCAACCTGAAAACACAGGTTATTTTGTTTGAAAATTTTATAAAGCTCCATTGCACTGTCAAGGGCAAGAATAAATTAATAAAGACTACGTTTACTTTGGGAGACTCCAAAGAATCTATGGAATTCACGAAGACCACAAAGAAGTTTTTAGATCAGAGAATTAGCACATGCTAATAGATAAATAGCATTCCGAGCAAATGTGAAAACTTTATAGAAACTAGAACAAAGAGATAATAAAGTCATTTTTTCTTTTCTTTTTTTGTTGGGGTAGGGAGTTTGGAGTTGTTTTAGAAAGCATTTCATCAGGGGAAATGTGATTCGATGGACAAAATTATCCTAATTAAAGAATTACTTACACTACAAATCTTGCTCATCTTTGGATACCAATTCTCCATAAACTCCCGAGCCTCATTAACAGCCAAATCCAGTTCTTCACACTCTTTATATAGTATGTCATCTGAAGATAGTTTGTAATCAACAACTTCATCGAGCACTGGTTTCAAATGCTTTAATACCATAACCATATTCCTATAATCTTTTTGAATAGGCATAGCTTTCCTGTTCTGGCATGAAACTAGAAGAATGAATCGAGAAATACTGTTGATAAGACATCTTATAGGTGTGTCCATGAGACCTGTTTAGCACAGAAACAAAAGGAAACATGTAATGCTAATTATTACTTTGAATTATTGGCAAAAATGAGTTTCAATTACAAGATTACTTTTGTCAAGGATAACAAATACATCAATCATCACAACAAAAACATGTTCATGTTTCCATAGACTAGTTATTGCCGGATACAAAAGTAAGACTTCAAGATGAGAGCAAAAGTTTTATTTAAAAGACTTTTTATATGCATGAAGCCCTCATCAGATAGGTAAGAGTTTTTCTATCTAGACATGAAAAGTTTAGGACACCATTAACATGTGCAAATATAGATGCAGCTAATATTTGCTTGCTGCTTGATAAAACACAAAATAAACCTGAAATTTGAAGAGATTCATATTAGAATTTCATGCTGGTAGGAGTTTGACAATATAGTTAGAGTTTCCAGGCGGGAAAAATTTCAATAATATAGTTGGAGGAATATCAAATATACTGATGACTAGGTAGAGGCAGTCACTTCGATGTGATATAAAGAAGCACAAAGCAAAACCTTGTCAATTATTATCTGCACCATACATTGCAACTGGGAGAAATGGTATGCATGTCTACCAAAACCTGACTAATGAAGTTGGAGGGCCCAAAGGGACTTGGCATAATTAGGGTGATTGAAGGGTAAGAAAAGAAAAGAGAGAAATGGAAAGTAGAGTATAAGAGGATGATAATAGGAAGAGAGACAGAAAGAGATATTCAGAGAGATAGAGAGATGTTGAGAAAAAGTGAGTTTATTTTCTGTTAGAATAATGCCAATACAGGGAGTTCTATTACTTGTACTCTTCCTACATTACAGCTCAGAAATCAACTTTCAGGTAACTAACAAACAACCTGAATATTATAACCAAATTCTGTACTCAATATCCTATTAGTCTAATGGAGCCAAAAGCTTCTGAATTATAGAGAAGAGATGCTGGCTCCTAGAAAATCCTTCAATATAGCCAATTTACCACACATTTGATTTCGACACCCTAACCAATTTAAATAATTCTGGAAGTAAACAACCAGTATGCAGAGACCACAGAGTCAGCAAGCCTGTAGACCTATGCAAACTGCAGCACATCAAATGCTGCGTTCTCCTTATCAGTGAGCTCTCTTCATTACTAATAAAACAGAAACAAATTATGCCACCCTCAGTTGGCTCTTTCCCCACTCTATGAAACCCAGTTCCTGGGAAAACAAAATTTAACACAATGAAAATTATCTCACATTTACATATGCACTTCTATACAAATTAAACCTTGTATGAAATGGCTCTTTAGGAACAACCTATCTACTTATTCAATATGGGATAATGCCAATTTTTTTACCATATCCCTTAACAAAATTGTTCTTTTATCATGATCAAGGTTGGCCATTTTATCTTGGCTTTCCAGGTTTATCCAAAAGCCAAACGAAAGTTAGATAGTCTGGAAATTTGAGAATCCATGCTCACTGGTTTGGGAAAGAAACTTTTCCATCATGCATTTGATTGCCTAAGAAACCTAACGAGGGGAAAAAGAAATTGAGGATGCTAAAAAATTGAGAAAATTACATACAGAAACCGCACTTCTTAAAATCAAATACCACCATGCAACCTAGTAGAATAGAATCCCCATTTATTTTTGGAAATCAAAACCACTAGATATCCAAAATCAAATCACATTTTTCTTCCCTAACAAACCCGAGAGAGGTAAGTGAATTCACTTTATCAGACCAGTTTTTTAAACAAATATAACAGTATTACAAAACCAACTTTACAAAAGAAAAAAAAAAAAAAAAAAGCTGTAACGGGAAATACCAGAATAAATGATGGGATGTCTAAAAATATTGAGAATAATCGGACATATCATAAAACCGCACTCTCTTAAACATGCAAGTTATCCATCCAGTTCTCAACCTACGTAAGAATAGAATCCCATTTATTTTTGAAAGTCAAACACCACCACACAATCCGAAATCAAAATCACATTTTGTTCTTCCCTAACAAACCCGAGATGGAGGTAAAGTGAATTCCACTTTATCATGACAGTCTTTAAACAAATATACACACGTCATTACCAAAACCAAGCTAAAATTACAAAAGAAAAAAAGAAACAATAAAGAAACAACCAATCTTGATTAGCATCAAAAAGTTATTAACAAGCTATCACTTTACAAAAGAAAAAAAAAAAAAAAAACAATCTGATAGCATAAAAAGTTTACAAATATCATCAAACCCATTTGTTAAAATGACACCCTCATCTCACCTGTACCAAACGAGTTACAGAGCTTAAAACCGGAAACAGAGGACAAACCCAACAAATATCATCATCTGCTATCCCATCACAATATGACATAAAACACAAATTGAATGAAAAAGATCTTTTTTTTTTTTAAAAAAAAAACATTCCATAAACAAAAAAACCAGAAACTGTAAAATCAAACCGTACCTCTCAATAAGCGTGCCTCAAGCCGGTGAGTCAAGGCAAAAACAGATCTTTGATGCACATTAACGCATAACTTGTGTACAACTGAAGAAAGATTTGTCCTTTGTTAACAATTAGTATAGAAATGAGAAAGTGCGACCCTTTTACATTACACAGCTGCATGAGAGAGAGAGAGAGAGAGAGAGTAAAAGAGCTTAACAATAACTATGAACAAAGCTCAAAGAAAATAAAATAATGGGCGAAAATGGTAGGCCCCTGTTAAGGTTTGTTGCAGATTTGTTGGGTTTTGTGGACGGAAAAAATTAAACAAGAATCGTGATTCTGCTAAATGAAATATAAGATTATAAAAGTAATCAATGAACAGAAAGAAGAAGGAAAGAAATTAATAAAAGAAAGAACTTTATTATTATTATTATTATTAAAATTATTAGCTGCTGTCATCCAATTCCAAATACAAACAGAATAGATTACAGATAGAAGTACCTTGATTCTCCTTCTGCAGATGAATGTAATATACTCTACCAATTTCCTAATATGCCCTTCACTTTTTTCACTTTTTATTATTTTTCCTGTTTACCTTTCTTTTTTTCATTAGTAATTATTTCTTTTTATTCAATTGCAAGTTGCAACCTCCAAACAAAACAATCAAAGTCATTATATTTTTTTTCATAATTATGTGAATAATACAAACCCCTCAAGATACACACGAGACCTTTTTTTTAAAAAAAAAAAAAGTTTGTGGTCATAATAAAGAATTGAGATATTGAGAAGTTCGATCCGGAGGTGTAACGGGTAGTCTCTCCTCAACTCGAAATTTTAAACTTCAAACCTTTCACTGCTCATATAAATGGAAAGATCAATCAAATCACGTCTAAACAGCACACTCAAATTTCACATTATGAGCGTATAATGGTGGAAAATATATTAATATTCATCTAAGACAATTTGAAGTTGTGCTCCTCTTTTCACCTACTAAAATATATACATATAGTAATAGGTGAGAAGAATTAAGGAGTGCAAATTATATTTTGACCAATTAATCTCGTTTTTATATAATTAAATTTGTATATTATCCAAGTAAATAATATGTTTAAAGGTTTTGAACATCTGATTGAATTTTTAATTGTACGAGTAAAATTTATATGAAAATGCAGTTTATCTAGAGGTATGTATGACTTTAATATCGATGAAACATAATTAAAATAAAAAAATCATCTTTCTTATCCCATCTTTTGCATACCAAAAAATGTGAAAAAAAGAGAGAGAAAGTTCTACCAGTTTGCCATTTGTCCGTTTTTATGTTTAAAAACGAATAATTGTTTCTTTGAACTCCCGACAAAACAAAAGCATTTTCCATCCATAAAAATGGATAAGCATTTGACAAATCAGCTAAAAGAAAGTTTTTAGACTACAATCATAGGTCAAGAAACTCTCTAGACACACATCTTTGGAGGCTTTCGTTAGGCTAAAGTATTAAATGCTATTGAATATAGAAAATAAAAATATTGACAGAAACTCTCAAATGAATTTTATCTACCAAACAAGGCACAAGCAAGCTTTTATTTGATTTGATCGTTTCCCTTTGAAGAAGGAATATTGACAGAAACATCATTTTTTTTTTAATCATAATTAAAAAGGATAGCTCTTTAAGCTTTTGCAGTGATGAGTCTGGCTTTTTCAAAACATCTGTGGTCTGTCTGCCCTAACAAAAATGAAGTGGTTTCCCATGCAGTCCCCTAACAAAAATGAATTAACAAACCATTTTACTTTTTAAAAATTGGATATATATTAAAAAAAAAAAAAAAAAAAGATGTTAACCAAACCATTTTTACTTTTTAAAAATTGGATATATATTAAAAATAAAAAAAAAAAAAAAAAACGAAGCATATGCATATAAATGTAACAACTGAACACGACTGGTGGAGATCTAATTAAAGCAATATAAGTTCGAGTCATTCATTGCGCCACACTACTCTGCTGGACCTAATTAATTACCTCCAACTACTCTTATCTGGCATAATTATCTAATGGCCGGCTAAAAATTTTAATTCCTTCAACTTAAATAATAATAATAAAATAATAATAATAAATGAAAAATATTTTGAACTTTGCCACTTGTTGCAAATTATATTATATTTTTTATTTTTTTGACAAATAATTATTTTAAATAAAAACTTAATAATTTATTTAAACTATAAATTGAAATTGGAAAGAAATATAAGTTTTAGGGTGTTTTTAACACATAAAATAATTAATTTCACTAAGTACTATATATTTCTTCTCTTTTTTTTTTTTTATTATTCCAGTATTTTCAGGAATCACCTTGAAAATTTGTCAGCTTAAGTTAACATGATTTAAAAGAAAAAAAAAAAGTTAGGGATGATATAAACTCTTAAAAAGTTTAAGTTTAGTTGAGAAAATAAATAAAAAAGAATGTACTCTCAACAATAAAGTTTTTGAAAGTAAGCCAAATGCCCTTTATAATAAGGTTTAGCTCAACCTGAGTTTGGCATTTTCCTTTCTTGATAATGAAAAGTGATGCATCTCACGTCATCCACGGAGTAACATTCCTGAGCTAGTAATATAAGGCTGGATTCAGTCCTTTCTACGAGTTAACTTCCTAGAGCGAAATTAGGGGGTCCAGTTTCTTGACAAGAGTCCCTTTATCAAAAAAGCCTATCATTCTATTGAATGTCCCTTTCTTATGTTTATTAAGGCCTTTAAGCTTCGGGTTTCAACAAGTGGGATAGTTAAAATGCTTAATGTATTGCATAATTTAGTGATAAATTATATGTACGGAACTTTAGTTAATAAGTGAGAAGGACTAACCAAACCACTATCTGATTGACATAGTTTTACACTTTATCATCACATTTAGAAAGAATATTACTATATTGATTTATTTTTCACATTTTTAAAAGATATTACTACATTATTCAGTGTCCTCACCATTTTTTATTGGTTGCAAATTACTATTTCGTCTCGTCATGTAACTGTTAAATATGATTATTTTTTTGCAAATACAGAATAATCAAGTAATAAAATTAACTTGTTATAAATTGCAATTATAACCAAAACCTATAAAGCCATCGGGGTGGGGACAACCATTTGCATGTTTGGAATCCTCTAAAAAGCCACTGTATTCGAAGTGTCTAGCAATTGATATGCATGCATGCCCAATCATCCCACATGTTAAACCAAATATTTAACTAACAAAGTAATTAAACATTAATTTGGTAAATACTATTAGAAAGAATTTATCATATACCAAAAATTGGACAACTTTATTAGAATTCAATTAAACATTCCTGCAATACAAATTAAAATAAAGTGATTATTTAATAAATATTGAAAAAGTAACATATTAAAACAAACAATAATACAAATTCAATTAACATAGTAAAAATCATGACAGTAAAATTAGTTTTTATTTGAGTCATTGTTGATTAGGTTTAGGAGTTCAGTGACCAAAGCGTACGCTGGTTCCATGTTGGTTTGTATTTGCTTGTCCTCCCGTGTTAGGAAGCAATTCTTCTTCTCGACTTAGTATTAATAGAGTCGTCTTCTTTTCCCAAAAAAAAAAAAAAGTAAAATCATTATTAAGGGGTTTTAGTATCCTCATCTCTCCCTCTCTTCCGTTCAAATATGAAAATATATAATATGATCGAATCAAATATGAAAATACCACTTTCAATAATCGTCAAGTAGAAAATGCAAAATTTAAAATTTAGTATAAGTTTTACAATTGGCTTCAACTTTATTCTTCTCGGCAAACTTGCTAAGAGTTCAACCATGGAGGTTCAAACATTGTGTTATATCACTCGTTTAGCCCTTTTAATTTTTTTGTTTTTTTTTTAATTATTAGGCAATGCCAAGTGCAACCATGTAATTGCGTATACGCACATGTATCCTATTTCAAAGGACACGTTCATAAAGATTGGTTCCCCAATTGGGGAATGGGACTTGGAACAAAATCTCTTGGGAACACCCAAAAACCATTTGGAATCTATGTGAGACTCTTGCTTCTAGATAATAAAAATATTACAAAATTGGTTTGCAAATGAAATCTAATCTGATTGACTATATATATATAGTATATATATATATTATATTTCACATTTTAATTAAATTTTAAATCAAATTCAACTTTATACTGCTAGTACCAATTTTTTGTTTCCATTTACTGTTATTATAATCTTCATAATCTCAAGACACCATATATCTTTCGCTACCACTATCCTCCATCTGGTTTCTAATATAAACAAGTAATACAAACATGAAAAATTGTACCATGACCAAGCACGTTAGATGGTACAGAATTCTTTCTTGCATCTGTCTCGTCTATTATCAAGAGGGGACGGCCTTATTTACAGAATTTCTTTCTTGCTTTTTCTGCTCCGGTGTCTACTAGCCATGAAAACCTATTTTGCATCTTCACCACTTTTATATGCTCCATTTTTAATGACAGAAAAAGCTCGTAAGCCAAAAAATGGTTAAGATTGACAAATTTTCAAAAAAAGTAGTTAATAGAATAATGGATCATGTTCACTTTTCAGGGACAGGCATAAGCCTTATAACCTGGCTTTTAACTGAGCTCGGCAAAGCAGGGCAAACGCCTTTTCTTGGGCTTTGATCTCACTCAAACAAGCCATGCAACCGCGCCATGTGGACCACAAGGAATGCATGCACCTTCTACGGGAGGCTTCCCAACAATTCTACACGGAGGACGACCATCTCCATCCTTCACATTTAATTTTTACCAGAAGCCTCCCACCACTCTACAGGCTGGGAAAACGGATCCACTGGACTAATAAATCAGATTGTGATACTGGATTGGGTCCATCCCAAAGCCTCATCAGGAATTGGAGAGCCGATGAGCTGAGGCAAAATTGAATTACACCCACTTGTGTTGAACCAACCATTGAGAACGTATTAGTCGATGTTCTCCACATGACCCGATTGCCAGTAGACCCAGAACTAGGACACACCCATCATTTGTAGTCTTTCTTTCTTCCTTATCCATCCATCCACTACTGCTCCCCTGAATTTGTGAGGAGGCACAGTTGTGCCCCACCCATTGTTGACTCTGACCATGTAAAGAATTTCTCCAGTCCATTTGCGATTAATTGTTCAGGCATCTGGTGAGTATTCCCAGAGGTGCCTTTCTCGGCAGCAGGACTGAATGGAAGCACTAATTGCATTGCTAAGTCCAGAGCTTCTGAAGATGTTGTGACTTGATCACTGGAATGCAGCTCAGTGTATATGGTGAGTTGGCAAGCATACCTGAAACAAATGAAATGGAACTCAGGTAGTGGCGGCTAATACAGATGAAACAAAAACTCAACAAATGGCATTTTGTTGAAGTTCATTAACAGGAAAGCAAGGATAACACAACCCTACTTTTCCAAACTAAACAAATAGCCAATACTAAAACATTCTTAAGAAGCAGGTCTCCTCTCTTTCTCAAATCCCAGAATATTCAAGCTCATGC